ATAGTTCTGTAACAAAACAAAATTGATGACTATAAAAATTATGCTTTGTCTGAGCAATAACGATTTTATAGAGAGTAATTTATGTTTAATTTCATACTTTTTCAAGGAGTGGTGGATAAAATAGGGATGATGACATGCTGAGATAAAATGTGTCACGTGGGTCACAGTAGAGAAAACTTAGGATTTTTTAGAAATATTTCCTTGTAGAATTAAGAACTTAAAACTTTTAAACTAATAAAATATGGTTTATTAGCTAAGATTTTATGCTATTCTAATTGATATAACATAAACAAAAAGCAGCGTAAAAAAATTTGGAATATAAGGCGATAGGGTTAAAAATTAAATAACATAAAACTTCGAATCATAACATAACATAATGTTTAGGGACAACAAGTAACCTATTAATCCATCTCAGTTGTCCCATCCTCTAAACTAAATTAAAACTACTTTTTAAAAAATGTTAAAGTCAGCCCTTATCATTTACATAGGTATCAAGCTTTCTCTTAAACTCACTTAAATTTACTGCCTCCACAACATCTGAATGCAAGCCCATTCCAGAGGTCAACCACCCTGTTAGAAAAATAAAACCGTCTTAACTGAAGATGTATCCTACCTTGCTAAAATTTATATTTGTGTCCCTTAGTCCTACTATTCTTACCATTAAGTATGAAAAAAGATGATTCATCAACATTATTAACTCCCTTTACAATCTTAAACACCTCAATCAGATCTCCTCTAATCCTTCTTTTTTCAAAAGAAAACAATTTCAAAGATCTTCATTTCTCCTCACATGACAAACCTTCTATCCCAGGCACCATTCTAGTGACCCTCCTCTGAACCCTTTCCAACAATCAATATTCTTCCTAATGTAAGAAGCCTAACCAATGACATACACAATGAAATTATAACCCCTTTAGACTTGTATTCAATATTTCTGTAGATACAACCTAAATCCTATTTGTCCTACCAGTAGCAACAGCACACTGCTTGGATGGCTTAAGAGACTGATCAACCATTACTCCAAGATCCCTTTCTTTCATGACACTGTTAAGGTTATTCCCATCAAAATTATACTTATAATTCAAATTATGATAATGTGGGTTGCATTTATTATAATTAAAACCTATCTGTCATTTATTTACCCAATTCACTAAATGATCTAAATCATTTTGTAAATCAGCAGCATCCTCTTCACAGCTAGCAACACCCAAGACCTTAATATCATCAGCAAATATAAGCATTTGGGAAGTTTAAAGAACGATAAGATTCGTGGGCCTGATAATATTTCCCCAATAGTTTTGAAGGATATTAAAGATTGGATATGTGAGCCACTTACTACTGTTTGAATAGTAGGCAGATACAAGAGGATTGGAAGTTACATAATGTGACTCCTGTGTATCTGGATTTTCAGAAAGCATTTGACAAAGTGCTACATAAAAGGCTTTTAAATAAATTATCTCTATAGGTGTGGGGGATAAGTTGGCAAATTGGACAAAAGAAACAGAGGATTGTTACAAATGGAGTTCAATCAAACTGGATTAACGTCACAAGTGGGGTACCTCAGGGCTCAGTCTTAGGACTCTTACTCTTTTTGATTTACATCAATGACATAGATGAAGGAATAGTCAATAAATTATTTCTTAATCAGCTCAGAATTAATGCAGTTATCTTGTTATCAACTGTTCAAGATGTAGAATACTGCTTCAATCTTCGTTAGGAAAAACCGAAGAAAAAGCAAATTTTAATAATCCAGCTATCTCATAATCATCAGATACTAGCCTTTCTTTATCATCCCTCAAGGGTTCTACCCTCATTTGTTTATAGTTAATGTATTTAAAGAAATCCTTACTGTTAATTTTTACATCTTCAGTCAACCTTTTCTCACACATACATTTTGATGTCCTAATTTTCTGTTTCACCAACTTTCTTGACCTCCTATAATCTTCTGTCAATTGAAATTTCTAAAATTGATTATGCCTTTCTTTATCTTTTAAACTCTCTGTGATCCTGGCAGAAAACCTCACTGACATCACGAATACTTTAAGGAATACAATTTCCGTCTCTTGTTATTTATCCCAAGAAAAGGAAGGCCAGGTTACCTCTTGAAATCGCCCCCCTCAAAGTAATGATGTACTGTACCTGCTCAAACTCTGCCCATCTCAGGTCACTTTCATTAATTTATTACCTGCTCAAACTCTGCCCATCTCAGGTCACTTTCATGAATTTAATACCTGCTCAAACTCTGCCCATTTCAGTTCACTTTCATTAATTTATTACCTGCTCAAACTCTGCCCATCTCAGGTCACTTTCATGAATTTAATACCTGTTCAAACTCTGTCCGTCTCCGGTCACTTTCGTGTACCGCTTTTTCAAGCAGTCTCAGTCCAGTCACAAAATGCGCGTTAAAACAATATACTAGCTTAAATTTACATTGTTTTTAAAATAACAGTCCTTAATTATTTTCGTATGTCTTTAAACAAATCATCTAACTGACGAATCAGTATATTTTTGAAAACAGTTAAGGGCAACCGGTATTAAGAATTGGAGAGAATTATTTCCTCGTATGTGTGGGGAAAACACCCCTGCTACTTAAAGCTGCAGGACCTTGACTATGTGTGGGAAAAACACCCCTGCTACTTAAAGCTGCAGGACCTTGACTATGTGTGGGAAAACACCCCTGCTACTTAAAGCTGCAGGACCTTGACTTCCAAAAACTAATCACTTCTTAGCTGGGTCATAGTCCAAATGTATAACAACTTTCGTCCAAATCCACCAAGCTGTTTTCGAGAAATATTGATGAAAAATACAAGCACATGGGTGAAAACATAACCTCCATCAACCTTCGGTGGCAGATGTAATTAGTTTACAGACTCACAACTCTACAATCCAGGATTCGCTTACTCACGTTGGACAGATAGCCTAATGTGTTGGTCTGTCACCTAAACAAACAAATCTTGGATATGGATAACGATCCTGCAAAATATACATTTAATCTTCCAAACAAAACATTTCAAATATCAAATCGGTTAAACAATCCCAGTTTTATTTACTAACTTTAAAGTAGTTAAAAGCCCCTTTTTTGAAAATAAAGCTGATGTTACTGCTCGTTTCTGTGTTGAACGTCGCGCAAAGCTACATCCCTAGCTGAGAAGTGGGTCAAGAGGAAAGGCAGCGAGCCAACACCACCCATCGCCAAATCTTTTCGAACGAATAATGTAATTGACCATCACACTATAACGCTCCCATGGCTGAAAGAGCGAGCCTGTTCGATGATGTGATCCGAACCAAATTGAGAATCAAACGACCTAACCCACCAGGGTTGTCACTAGATGTCACTACAAAAAAAATCAAAATCAAACTATATACGACAATTGTCTTATCTAACGTGGATTAATATTGTTCCAAAACTCCTGCAATTTACAAGGGGCATCATAGATCATAAATAAATCTGTGGATAACAAAGGGTTTTAGCAGAGCCAAGCTAAACTTCAAAGATATTGAGATTCAAAAACAATTGAGAACTAAAGAAATTATTGGTGCTATTCACTAGGAACGTCTGTCATTAAAATCAAAGAAACTTTGTTTAAAAACTTACTTGCACCACTAAATAAATCACTGTCTTGTCATAAATCGTGGTTTGTAGATAATATTCTTAATTTTAATCGCCATCTTTAATTTTTTTGTTTGTTGTTGGACCATTTTTACTCTGTCTACTGCAGGTATCAAGACCAGACTTTTTATGTAAAAAGCTATCAAGCTATTACTGAGCCACCGATGCGTTCATAACTAATAATTAATAAAACGATTATCCAGTAAAATTAAAATATATTTATTGTAAAAAAAACCACACTTCTTAAAGGCATATTTATTACAAATGTAGCTTTTTAACGATTATGTACCCTCCATAAGATATAACAATACATCAGTGGTTCTGTTGATAATCTTCTCATTCATTAGTTATACATCACTATCATCAGCAATGAATACATCTAGAATGGTGATAGTGGATTCTGTAGTAGTTAGATAAACTCCAGATGATCAAAGATCTGTTGTTTCTTCAAAAGAATAAGATTAGTTTACTCTTGTATTCTAAACCTTTGTAATCTTAATCCAGTTGATATTCCACGCAGCTCGTTGAACGTAGATCCCCAAGTTATATGTACCCGAACTCACATTCACTGTGTGGGAAATGGTGGTCCACTTCTGCCATCCCCCAGTTGAAGGAACATCCAGCATTCCAAGCACTATAGAACCTGCATTCAAATCGAGAGACAACTTTCCTCCTGCACGTTCACTTGCCACTCTGTACTCTACTTGATAACTACCTGAACTGGGGAAATTAATATCCTTGTAAGCCATCCAGGCTCCTTCAGTATCACACTTAACATTCTTCCCGCCTCCAACATCCGAGGTATCTTCCAATTGTACTTTTGAACTAGCAAAATAACTTTCTGCCTGAATTACTTTAGAATCGGTATTACTTCTTTGAATAGGTTTTGACTGTCCGGGTGCTTCTGTAATCTTAATCCAGTTGATATTCCACGCAGCTCGTTGAACGTAGATCCCCAAGTTATAAGTACCTGAATCCACCTTTACTGTATGGGAAATGGTGATCCACTTCTGCCATCCTCCTGTTGAAGGAACATTCAGCATTCCAAGCACTATAGAACCTGCATTCAAATCCAGAGACAACTTTCCTCCTGCACGTTCACTTGCCACTCTGTACTCTATTTGATAACTACCTGAACTTGGGAAATTGATATCCTTGTAAGCCATCCAGGCTCCTTCAGTATCACACTTGACATTCTTCCCGCCTCCTACATCCGAGGTATCTTCCAATTGTACTTTTGAACTAGCAAAATAACTTTCTGCCTGAATCAATTTAGAATTAGCTTTATTTCGAATAAGTTTCCACTGTCCGGATAATTGGCCATCATCAGACCATTGTTGTATCTTTCCTCCTGGGTCTTTATTCAAATCTGCTACTTCCACTAACTTTCCAGTGCTGCGTGCAAATATCTTATAATAACCATCTCCAACATCTTGTACAATAAACTGCTGATTGTAGCCCCCTCCATACGACCACTGTTGGATTCTGACACCATTATCAGTCCCTAACTCGTAAACATCCAGAGATTTTCCACTATTTTTATTGATAATTTTATAAACCTTATTTCCGAGATGTACAAAATCAAACTGTTGGTTAGCATTACCGCTATAAGGCCATTGTTGTAGAAATGCTCCATCTTCGTTACTGGAACCACTGACATCAAGATACAGTTCACTGTGCCTATTTTGAAGAAAATAGTAACCAGATAAATGAGTAACGTCAACAGGAGAAGGTGTATTGGCATCCTGATATACACGGACATAATCTACATACATGTTAGCAGGGAAAGCCTCATCAGCAACATTGAATCCTGGCCAGTTTCCACCAATAGCCATGTTTAAAATAACGAAAACGTTATTATGAAATGCGTTTGTTCCAGTTGCTCCTCTCTGAATATTCACCTCAAAGTACTGATTTCCATCAACAAACCATCTAATAACGGAAGAATTCCACTCTACAGAATAAATGTGATAGTCAGTATTGGTTCCTCTGCCATGATGCGTATGAGCACCATCAGAAGTAGACCAGTGAATAGTTCCTCTAACTTCATTGTTGGTATTTATATGTTCCTTAAAGTCAATTTCACCGGAAGAGGGCCAGCTATCAGTATCGGTGATGTCTCCTAACATCCAGAACGCCACCCAGACCCCCCGAAATGATGGAATCGACATTCTGGCTTCAATTTTACCATCTTTCCAAGGTTTATTGAACTGGGTTTTCAGCTTGGCAGAAGTGTACCTGAAACCCTCATAATCTTCTTCTTTAGCTGTAATTATTAATTTCCCGCCCTCAACTCGGGTATTTTCACGACGATAATATTGCAGTTCGTTATTGCCCCAACCGTTGGGGCCATTGCCCGTTTCGAATTCCCAATCTGAACTGATTCCATTGGTAAATTCATCCGACCAGACGAGCTTCCATTTTGGTTCCTGCTATATTGTAAATACAAAATATAGTGAGGTTTAAAGTGGATAAAAATATTTCATGTACACTAAAACAGAAAAATAATAAATAAATAAACATCATAGTTATTAGGTTATATAAAATAACATAATAATATTCTTACTAATAATTAAATATTTATAGGTTTCATACCATGATAAGTGAAATATTATTTTAGTACAGTGAGAACAAGTGTTATTTAACTGAATTTTTCAGATGAGTTAAACAAACTTTTACATCACCATCATATATTCTGTTCAATTTAAATATAAAACTTATTACTCTTGATAAACTAGGCATTTTGTAATTAGTTCAGTAAATAACCTGTCTTAGCATGTTTTTTCTAAGGTCATATCTTTTACACTTTAATTAATCGCCTTTTATGTTTAATGGGTTTACTTCCGTTCAGTTTTATAGAATGAAAGCTTGCATCTGTTCCTGAGCTTTAATCTAAAATGTTATTAAAATATCCTGTCAGTTTAAGTAATGTTAATGATAACAGCATCAGTAAAATGTTAGTGTCCACTATTAAAACATGATGTTCCTAACATGTAGGATGACAATCGCTGGCTTTCATCTTTGGCAGAGTTGATTCAAATGTTCTAAAACCGACGTGTATTTAGATATGCTGTGATTTGTGGTTTTGTTTTGTGGATATCATGCTTAAGAAAAGATGTTTTTCACCCACAAATCTCTTTACTCTGGCTGTTACAGAAGGTCCACAACTAATGGTTGTCTTTTTTCGTATTACACTAACATAATCCTGAAAAATCTGATTCTATCCAAATTTGTTTTGTAATGGTCGAACTGAAGATGATCTGCCTCTAGAGATCCCAATAAGTCTGATAATTTACCTACTGAGTCCGACCTTAAACTAAAATTAACTGACACCATTTATCTAAAATTTCTAAACGTGTTCCAGTTTTCAAAACTTTAATTTGGATACACATATTTAAATTGGTTTATTCGTATATCTTGTGGTATTTGATTTAGTAAAAGTAATACACCACTTAAACCACACTTACTTATTATTGTGTTATTTTTCTCTCGTCTGTTTTGAACCACTTGGTCAAATGAATTCGGAGCCCAATGAGTTGATATTCCTTCTTTAACGTTTCTACAAACTTGAACGCTTGTACACAGTAGTAAGTTGTTGTAGGCTTACGTTACAAGACACGTTAACTAACGTAAAACAAATCAAGTTACTGATACAAAGTAACTCGATACGAACTATAGCTAATACAGATCCAAATACTAAACCAGATTACACCGTCTAATTCAACCCTATCTTGAAAAACTATCTTCAAATAACTACAATCTTTACATATTTCTCGTATTTATAATCTAGCTTGGAGCTTCCAAGAAATACTGGACTGCCACACCCTTTAGCTTACACACAAATTACAACACTAAAAATATAACTTACAACAATATTTTTGTTTTTTCAAACAATAAATGTTGTATTACTTTTATTAATTTCCTTTTGGAAATATTCATATATTGATTTTTATTAATTATCGATTGATTATATTAGACGATCCCCTGAATATTCGCCTCTTCTTGACTGTATCCTATCATTTTTGGTAATGAATGTGGTTCTGAATGATTATTAATTGATCATTCAGCTTATAGGGAACATTAGTGATAGCAAGAGTTTTGTAATATGATGATTGTTTGTTTGTTCGTTTGTAGGTAAGCACAAAGCTATACAATGGGCTGTCTGTACTCTGCCCACCATTTAGCAATGGAAGACTAGTGGACGGTTACTCTTTTAGCAACGAATAACGGAATTGACCGCGACTTCATAACGCCCCCTCCCTCCAACTGAAAGAGTAAGCATGTTTGGTGACAGGGATTCGATCCTGCATATCCCTCCAGTACCATATTTAACTTATAACGCCCCATCAGAATATTGAATATATTTGAACTCTAATAAATAACGTATTATAAACGGTACATTAAAAATATGAATACGTTGATCCAGGACATTTATATATCGATCTCCACAGTGAACACAACACAGATAGTCCATTGTACAGCTTTGTTCTAACGAGAACAGCGGAGACTTTGTATAAATTGTTACACATGATATAGTTAAATATTTAATTTTTACATTTGTTCTTCAATTTGATTGATCTACATAGGAAATCACTTCAAGTTAATGATTCTCATCATCAATTTTAACAACCGCCTGTTCAAAGAAAAGGTGACGACGTGTTAACTTCTATACTAAGGCCTAGAAGCCGAAACGTCGTCGTCTTTTCTTTCGTGACGGGAGAATAAGGGAATGTGTGTGTAGGTAATGAGTAATTGAACTGCGGTCAGAGAGAGACGTA